TTTTTGGCGCTCTCACATTAATAATAATTTTCAACAAAACAATACCCCGACGGTCATTAAAGCTGAATTCGTTACCGAATAATTCACAATTTTATTTACGGAATTTGCAATTTCAAGATCTCACTTGACGATTTTGATGATGTCATGCCCTAATTATTTCTGCTTAAATGCCTCAAAATACAACAAATGTAATCATTTTCGACGATAACAGGCGCAACAATTCGTAAACGAGCCGTTATAACGAAATTCGCGATTGATTTTACCTCTCTCTTGTTTACAATTTTAACATCCCGCCGGCCATGTATGGTCGAATAAAATGTTCACATATTCGAAACATGACATGGCCAAGGATGGAAGGGATCACTAAAGAGCTAATAGAAAGTACATACGCGAGGGTATGATATTAATATCGAGAACATTTGTGAGCATATCACAGGACTGAAATATTTTTCACCCGGCTGTTTGTTGGCAGGACAACGATACGCTAAAGTTAATTGATCGAATACAGGGAAGTATTTATTTATCATATCACTTGCGAACATCGAGGTTTTGGCGGAATTGTACGATCATGTTGTCTTTCTTAAATAATAACTTTTTCAATAAATGTTCATTTTACCTTTGCGTCTTTATTATATGTCGGGTTTTCATTTATTTTAAATTCGAAATTGTCCGAAATACTCCCAACAGGTGTATAAGTACAATAATATTAGTACTTACCAAAGCACTTACCAGGGAAGTTTAATACACACGATGTGTAAAGGGCGTCGTAACTCCCGTTTATTAATTATAAATTATTTTTCATTCTGCTTAAAAAACAACGGCAGCATCTCACTTAACTCTCGCGACCAAATCTCTTTTGTTTTGTATGGCATCGTCTTGGCGATGAATTTATTGCCGACTGAATTTTAATTGTGTTTTAGGATAAGTTATTTTCTGTTTGTTGGTTTCTAAATTTTACAAACGTGGGTAGCAATTACTATTAATGTGAGATTTGTGCATATGAACGATTGAATATCGCGACTGGATGTCCGATATCTGAGAATGCGTAATTCTCTTTCAACATTAATATTCAGAATATCAGCGTTCATGTGGTCGAATAAAAATTATTTATCAAGTGGATTGGTATTTCGAGACACTGTCAAAATTATTTGGGATCCACTATCATATCATTCGTTTATTTTTTTTATTCATGTTTTTCTCAAGAATCACCGTCCTTATATTTAGTGTACCTTCGCAAAAGAAAACTCTTTGGTGTCATCGTTCCTATTAGTGTAATTGAAATATATGGAAACCTCGCAAGTGGCGTTGTGATGCGAATATTTGATACTAGGTCAGCAGCATTACAAAGAGTGCTATTTATGAATGCTGAAAGTACATGACATTACTGAACATTTTGTCAATATAAGATGTTTTCTGCCCGATTTAAACTAACTCGCACGCAAACCAAGGCATGTCGACATTTCAAAATTACTTGTCTTTGGGTAAGCTCTGAAATAGTATAATATAAATGTAAATGAGGAATTAGGTCACGCTAGCTCACGAAAGGGAGGATTTTCAAAGTGATCTTGTGTAATATTTCGGAGAAAAAAGTTTGAAAGGAAAGTAGGTCAACCTATCTCCTAAAACAGGGGAGTATCCTGCGTAATATTTCGGAGGGAACGTAGGTTAACCTATCTTTTAAAACAGCGGGTGGCGACTTTCAAAGTGGTTCAAAATCACAAATTAATAATTATCAGATTAGGTTTAGGGATAAATCGAAAAGTTGAATTTCCAGCGCACCTAACCCTAATTAGGCTATTTATATTTGGGGGATTATTTTGCACGGATTTGTACAAACGATCCACCCTGTAACTAATATGTTTCCAGCCTGCCTCGTGTCTGTTAGATGGAAGGAGTAACAAATGTGAAAGTCTTTGCTGTTTAGGCTAGTAAGCAACTGACACTGTGATGCATTGCATGAAAGTTTTGTCCGCGGCAGGTGTTAGCAGATGATATTTCGTTGCCGATGAATTCCCTTGTTTTAATAAACATGAATTCGCTTAAAGGGAACTCGGTTAACGAAAAGGCTTCTCTTTAATTCATAATATTAACCGGAGGAGCGCTTTTTCGAGTATCTATGCCATTTTAAATGGGTTATATGAAAGGCTAGTGCACATAACTTGTGAAAATCGGCAAAAGCACTTTCGCACTTTTTTTTTCGACTGCGAAGCACTTTCGCACTCATAATTTGCTTAGAGTTAACACTGCTGTAGATGCTTCGAGATTTTCTTCAAGTGATTCAACGATGCCTCCACAGACATCTGTTATGATAAAACGAACTGTTATAATAAAACAAACTTCTCACATATTGCTATTTGGTAGCCTTTCCTTGTGATGTAGTGAATTAATACAGGGTGAACCGAAAAAAACAACAGAATCCATGCCGTTTGGAACATATTCTAGAGCAGAGGTGGGCAAGATTTCTTGACCGGGTGCCAAAAATTTTGTCAATTTAGACGGGCGGGCCATGTAAGTGTGACGTGAACTTACATTTCATGAGCAATATTTACAGTGTTACAAAAGCAAAAGGGGAAAGCAATAAGCATCGTGCCAAAACTAAATTTAATCGCAATCTCAACAAATTCCTTGAGCTATTATCAGCCAAAACATCAAAATTTGGTTTTAGTTTGATTCTGGCAGAATCAGGCGGGTCAGATTGAATTACCCAACAGGCCAGATTTGGCCCGTGGACCTAATTTGCCTATGTCAGTTCTAGAGAGAACATAACTTCTATGCAAAGCGTCCTAGATTACCGAAACTTTTAATTGCAATCATCGAATCACATAAATAGAAGAAGAGCGTTGAAATAATTTTTTTTCATTTACGTAAAAGTAACCATGTTTGACTTGAAAATTGATAAATAGTGACATGACAAATTAACTGAATTAGATCTGAAATAAACATGTCTCTATTCAGTGAAAAATGGCAACTGGGCTCAATGAGAACTGGCCAGGATAACAAAAGAAATGCAGGCACTCGCAAACCAAATAGCCCCATTTGCAGGGGGATTGTCCAGTTAATTTAAATCACAGAGGAATAAGTGACTTTTGGTACAACCCAGAAGAAAGATCTATTTTGAATCCTCACCTTTCAACTGTAGTAATTCAGCCACATACATCAAAGATTCAGCATTTGCATCAGTAGTAGACAATTCACCAGTGTAAATATAATCTATGCATTGTTGCAAGGATAATGGATCAACTTCCTTCATTTCCACTTTACCAGATGCTGTCTCAGCATTCTGAAGTGTGATAATACCAATGATTAAAACCACATTAACAAGGGTAACATTACTAACTGTGAGAGAGTTAGCTAACTCAAACAGTTTATGGTTGAGATAACACATAAACACGAATAAACACAACTTACATTATGGGCCAGCATTGCTTTGAAATAATCAGATCCTACAGATATAATATTCTTATGAACTGGGATTTCTTCAGAGCCAGCTATGATCATGAAATCACAATGATCTCGAGTTTCCTTTCTGCTTCTGCAAAATTAAATTCTAAATCGGCATTGCACTAAATGTGTTTTTCTTTTCCGCACAAGAAATCCTTGTGTGAATTTTCAATTTCAATACAGGGATGGGAAGCTGATTTGATATCACTATGGTTCTATCTCTAATTCCGAAGCTACAATATATCAAATGTGACTCAAGGTCTGCTGGGTTTTTTTTCGCTTCTGAGCTTAGTAACTGATGTTTTTTTGGTATGAGCACTACATGACACATTAATCCAGATACAGTTATGCGCGAGTTAAATCTGTGTTATAGGGACTTTTAGATGTACAAGAAAGACTTTTAGACATACAAGAAAATCAAAATTGAAAAAATTATAAGATGCCTACAGATTTTATTTATATAAAGTCATTTGTATGAGGCATGAGGAATTAAGTCTGGAAAAAGAATTAGATGGTTAAAAGTTGGAGCCACTAATTTACTGGTAGCTCAGGCTTCAGCTCCATTTCCCACTTCCATCCACAAAAAAAACACTGTGGCTTCATGGACACAGCTCTGATTAGTAGGGAATAAGTATGTGTCAGTGGCGCAACCAGCGAGGGGGTTACGGGGGTCGTGTCCCCCCCGTTTGAATTTCGTTTTTTTTTATTATTGTTCTATGTTAAAACAACGTCGTTCCACGGTCATAACAATCCGGTGAAAACTACTTACCTCGACTACTACAGTGCTTTATCACCTCGACGTAATTTAACACCGCCCGACTTCAATCATACCTTTTTGCTGATAGTTACGTAATAATCGCTAACCCCGCGTATATGTTTGTATTCGAAAATGAGATATGTTATCTCAAAAAAGTAGAAATCGTGCGCTGTCGATGCGAATTGAAAGCGACAATAGCATAATGCTATATCTCTCTCTCTTGTGACGAATACTCTCGTGCTTCATCATCTTAACGCAATGTAACGCCGCCCGTCTTCATGTTATAATAATGCAGTAGAAACTCTGAAAATCTGGATACGAAAATTATTTTCGGAAAAATATTGCTTCGAATAACCTAAGATTTTCTACATATGAAAGGCCGAAAACCACAAAACGCCGTAAACATCCTACCGTCCCCGTCCATGTTCTGATTTAAAAACATTCCACAATTATTTCATTTTTTATCGCAATCGAAAGCAGCCATGTGTGGCACGGCAATAACTAACAGTCGTCGTGAAAGGTTTTCAATAAACTCTGACTTGAAATGCTTATAAGACGTCGAGGACGTTTTTGGTTGAAAATCTTTTACATTTGTTATCGTATATTTCAATTTAGTCAAATTTTTTAATTTCTTGCAATCTATAAAATAGCTTCTAAATATTATTTGGTTTCTATCGGAGATTTTATCGTTATCCCGAGTCCTGACGTCGTTGATAACAATATCGTTCATTTTAAGTTGGAGGTATTGGTTTATAATCAAAAAATTATAACACATAACATGAAAATTTTAAATCAACGCTGACTCAAAAAGTAAAACACGTTTTTCCATCTTCATTCTCCATTATTGGCGGACGGAAATTTGGGAATCGGGTTTAACTAATTTGATTATGATGACGATGGTAAACAAAAGTACACAAACATGCCATATCGTTCTTAGTTTTTAGTCGTTATTTCTCTGTCCTTTCTTCTTTCTATGTGCATATTAAGACCAAAAAACGTGTTTTATTATTGAATTCTGCGCTGATTTGAATATTTCATGTAGGCTGTTATGTATTTTTGTTTGTAAATGAATACCGCTAACTTTAACTGAACTGATGTTGTTATCAATGCCGGATGCCGACGAAATCCGCGATAGATATTAAATACTATTTAAGAGCTATTTTATACGCGCTAAATCAGAAGAAATAAAAAAAATTCCTGTTATGTTCGGTCACTATCGAAACTGAGGATGAAAACAACTAATTAAGACACAATTTGCCGAGGACGCCTAAACCATCTCGACTAAGATAAAATACCCGATAAGAAAATATTTTCAATCAAAAACGTCCTCGAAGTCTTATAAGTTCTTCAAGTCGGCGTTTATCGAAATTCTTTCATTTCAGCTGTAATATATTGCCGAACCACACATGGACGACGACGCCTAGGATATGTGCGCCATATTTGGGATTATTATAAACACGAAAAAACAGTATTTGAAGTTTGCGATATTTGAATTTAAATTCGATTTGGACATCCCTGCATTAAATTAGTCAGTTTTTAGTTGTGTTTCGAAAAATTAGTTGTAAATCAATTATTTTAACTGTCATTATGTCTTCCGATGAGCTCCAGTTTAGTTTAGAATTTTTCCGGGGTTAGGGTCGGGAAAAGGTCCATTCGCAAGAAGTGCATTTTGTTTTTAGTCTTGACGAATTCACCCAACGAGCAAGGCGCGGCACGAGGGAAACACTGGAATTTATTCAAGCCGTGTTTCACTATCCACGAGGCGCAAAGCGAGGAAAACGTTGAAAATAATTAACAGCTTTTCGTTAGCAATTCGCTGGAATGTAATGAACGGCATTTTGCTACCCACGAGGTGCAAGACATAGCGAAGCGCCGTTAAAGAACGAGTGCAAGGTAAGCGAAAGGCTGGGATTTAATCGATGGCGTTTCCCTTTTAACCATGAGCAATTTATCGTGGTCAGCGGGGCGACACCTAGTGGCGTTGCGACTTACGTCGTGGTTGCACTGTGTAAATTCCGGTCGGACCCCCCCGTTGAAAACGGCCTGGTTGCGCCACTGGTATGTGTACATGATCATAGAGATAAGTGATATCACCGTCGCCAATTCTGACTATACAACAACAGTGATACCTCAGTGGTTGACCTAAAAAATTCAAAACTGTGGCGGCGCTCGAACACCCAAGCGTGCCGACGAGTGAGATGGGCGATCCAGTAATATGTGAACCAAGATGGCAGACGCAGTATGTGTACCAAGTTAGGGTTAGGCCATAATTTTATTCCAGTTCTACTACGAACTCGGGGACTAACCAAGTGACTTCCGTAGTATTTGTAACTGAAATTATGGCCTAACCCTAACCTGGTACACATACTACGTTCCGTTGTCCACCATCTTGGTTTACATACTACGGACGTACCGTGAGATGACGTCACTCGTACCGCGCATCTCAGCTGCCTCTTTACCATTCGACAAGAGAGCGATGCGCAAGTATATAATCCGAGCTTTTCAAAATAAAGTAACTTAAATAACAGTGTCTTCTTGAATAACTTCTTAAATAACAGTGTCTGCCTGTGCAGAGCTTTGATTGGAATGAAATGTATATATTTATGTCGTAAGATCTTGTTGGGGACGTTACGTCATTTCTGATCGATTGTCATGGCTCTAGGGCAACCAATTTGATAAGCATATAGCATAAAATTTTAGGGAATTTTGATTGGTCGAAATGGCAAGCAAAGATATACTTTTTGTTTAAATTTCTAGAACAAAAATACTCACACCGAAAGTTCTGTGCCAGAAAAAAATGGAAAAATATACAATTTGAGTAAAATATATCATTCAGTCAGCAGTCATATTTTTACAATGGTTTTGTGACATGTAGAAAAAAAGGCTACACAAATGTGGCAAATTCAGGTTAAATAGATCCTATGACATTCAGGCTGGATATGACATCCGGTGATAATAGTGACAGATTTTATTTGCGCCCAGTCGTGTTAAGGAATTGGATGGTGGGAACTAGCAGCCAGGGTATACAAATCTTATGACATCTGCTAATAATAGTGGTAGATGTATGGACCTTAATTTTTAGGAATTTATGATTGTCCCGATATCATAAAGATAATAGAGTACCTATGCAGTTTAAAATAAGTTTTAACAAAAAGATAGTGTACCAGATTCCGATTTTCCTCATTTCAGTTCAATTACGAGTTCGGGGATTGTCTGGGTTAGCCAAGCGAATATTCGCCTGCCCATAGGCTTCAGTTCCTTTACACAACAGAATTTTTTTAGCACCAGAAACCCAAGGTTCATTAAATTAAACTAGTAACCAGACATTTGCACTTTATTTTTTGGCTTGTGACGCAGCATGCACTCCTAAGAAACCAAATTTTTTTTGGTAAATTAAACCAGAAAACAGAATTTCAGTTTTTCTGCTTCTCATAATTTTTCAAAGTGAACACCAGAAACCGGAGTTGCATGTTAATTTTAATTGACTTTATCTCCAAACAATAAAATCAGAAACTTTGCAGCATGCAAGATTTCAATAATATAATGATATTAAAACAGTTAGGAAAGATTTGACTTTTTTAGTTTCTGGATTGTGAGAAATGCACATAATTTTCTTAGAGTGAACACTGGGTCTCGGCTGACAACGCACACCCACAACTTAACCCAGGATGTCTTATAGTTAGATAAGTCATATCTCATACCAGAGTGAACCTTGAAAGAACAAAAGAGCTGTTCCTATATTCTGACTGATTAGCTAGAGATGGCATAGGAAAACTACGGCCTGTTGGGTATTTCAATCTGGCCAGCCTGATGCTGCCACAGTCAAACAGAAACCAAATTTTGATGTTTTAGCTAAAAAATGGCTCAAGGAATTGGTTTGAAATTGCGGATAAATGTTTTTCAATTTTGCGTTTGTAACACTGCAAACATTGTTCATTAAATGCAAGTCACACTTACTTGGCCCGCCAGTCTCGGTAGGTAAAATTTTTGGCCCCTGGTTTAGAAACCTTACCCACCCCTGAGCTAGAGTCATGTAGAAGACGTGAAACCACCCGATAAATATGTTCACTAGAACATAGGTTCTCAAAGTGCCGAAGGCTCTGAATGAGAAACCTAGGGGCTCCACGAGCTATTTGTTTACTTATTAAAATAAGTCATAATCGAAAAATGTTTTCAATCAAAACGTGGATGGAGGGCGCTAGGATGTGTGTGCAATATCAATTTTCACTAAAAACGA